ACTTAACGTGGTTGTATTCCACGGTGTTTATCTTAGGGTTACATTCTCAACTCCGGTGACAACTCCCTCACAAGAAAAAGCAAACCTGGGACACGCGTTTCATTATTTTCTCGTTTTGTGTAAACAATTATTTTTCTTGAAATCCAGCTGCCAACAATCTCACAATGACATGAGTTCCCACATCCTTTTCAGGGTGGGTGTGAGGATTTTGGTTTCCGTTCTCGCGGCCTCACAAATACAGACCTACACAGGAGTGTGGAAGTAATTTGTTCCAAATCAAATTAAATATTATATTTTATATTTATTTCATGGTATAATTTACAGTGTAGCTTTTTCCTTCCGACGACTACAGTCCAAGACCTTGTAGGCTTAAATATTTTATAAGTATGGGAAAAATGGGCCTGGATGAACACTGGGCCTTAGAGTACAGTTGTGTGTATGGAGCATTTCATATTTTTCTTCTATTATTTTTTTCCTACAACCAATTTAAAAATGCATTCGGATTTATGTGGGAAATAATTGAGTAGCCGGCATGTGGTACACTGGGGAAATATTTCATTAAAATCCTAAAAGTAGGCTTTAAAATTTAAAAATAAAGAATAACATTTCGCTCCTTCAGGTATGCTTTAATTTTTTACAAACAAATATTTGCTCATTTAACCAAAAATAAATAAATGTTTCTATTGAGAAATAAATAACCTGTAACACCTGAAAGTAGGCATCAAATTTTGTACAAATTACAAATAATTTAAAAGAATTTTTTTAAATAAATTTTCCTACCAAAAATTCAAAAACAAAATATTTTAGCTCCTGAAAGTAGGCCCCTCATTTTCAACATAATTATATTTGCCTCGAAAGCAATCCTCAAAAATTATTTTTCTTTGAAAATATGTTGAATTCCTCTAAATTCCTCTAAATTACAATTTTATTACTTTCACAAATTTCCTCACGTGTAACCTACTATTTACCGCCAAACAATTGCCTATTAAATAGTAATAACCATAAAAAATGTTGGGGGAGATTACTTGAGGATTTCTTGTAAAATTAACAACTGTAAAATCTCTTTCCTTTTGTTTCTTGACTCTCTTAAGCAAAAAAAGAGAACTAAAAAACAAAACTCTCTATTTGTATTTGTCGAAGTCAACAAAATGAAACATGAATGCATGTATCCTCTTCATACTTTCAATTCTCCCGCTTTCTCTCTCTCTCCCTTCCACTTGCCCTTCGCCTCGTTTTTTTTTTTTTTTTTTTTGGCTTAAAACAAATACACCAAAGAAATAATTGTATATTTTATTGTGTTGATGGAATGAATTGTAAATATGATAGCATACTTCTTGGCGCTATGTGATAATAGGTGGATTTTGGGAAAGATGAGAGAAAATATTGGAAATAAAGTAAAAAATAAATAAATTCTAAAAAAAAATAATTTTGAAATGAAAAATAACTTAAATTTGCTTTCTAATAATTTTTTTTAAATATATATTTTTATAAAATATAATTTATTACAGGTTGGGCGCCACATTGCAAAAATATACACATTATACTAGGACTGAAGATATATACTCTCCTAATTTCATAATAATATAAAATTTAAATATATATGTCAAATTACCGAATAATTTATTCTATAGTACAACACGTTGGGCGCCATAGTTTAATAACTGTGAAAAGCAAATATTTTTCGGTTTGAATTTTAAATTCTTAATATCCACAACCCCTAATATTTTCAATAAAAAAATATTTTAAAATGGATATACTGTTATTGAAATGTATAATTTGCCCCATGTTGGGCGCCATATTAGAAGAAAAAAAAATATCACACTAGGACTGAAGATAGTCACCCTCCTTATTTCATATAAATATAAAGAACAAAAATATTTCAAAATTACCGAATTACTTTAGTCCAACACGTTGGGCGCCAACGTTTAATAGTTATGAAACATTAAATAATGTTTTGTTTTAAAATTATTGACATTATGGTGAAGCTTTCCCTATGCAATTTTTATGTGATTTTTATAGAATAGATACATTATTTTTGAATTTCCATGTTGGGCGCCAACTTCAATAATATTTCTAAAATTATTAATTTTGTCGATATATGTCTACAATTGTTAACAGCAATGAACAATCGCAAAGAAGTTAATGATTCTTTGCCAAAAAAAAAATTATTTTCAAATTAACGAATAATTTACGTTGGTCCACACGTTGGGCGCCATATTTCAATAATTATGAAAAAATTAAATATATTTTTGTTCAAAAATTTTTTAGCATGATGGTACAGCGTTCCCTGTGCGATTTTTTTATAGAATAAATTTGTTTTTTTTTTTAAGTTTCCACGTTGGGCGCCATCTTTTAATAATATTGCTAAAAATATTTGAGACGCTATTTTTTATTGTTGTGGAAAATTGTAGACAAAAATAGCTGTCTATAAATAATTTTGTATTTTAAAATGTAGCAGAATTTAATATTTTTCTTCGGCCCTACGTTGGGCGCCAACTTTAATAATAAGTTAGCATGAATGTATATGAAATAAAAATTATTCTAAATTTCTTACAGAACTTTATGGTAGAGATTTCCCAGGGTAATTTGTCTTTTTACAGAATAAATTTCCTATATTAAAATTTCCACGTTGGGCGCCAACTTCAATAACATGACTAAAAATAATTGAAACGTAAGAGCCTTTTAATAATTTTGTATTTTAAATTATAGCAGAACTTAATAATTTTCTTCGGCCCTACGTTGGGCGCCATCTTTAATAATAAGTTAATATAAAAGTAATTAAAACTAAAAATTGTTTTAATTTATTTAAAGAGCATTTTGGTACATCTTTCCCTGGGTATTTTTTTTTTTTTTTTGTATAGTATACATTTTCTATTTTAAAATTTCCACGTTGGGCGCCAACTTCATTAATATTTCCAAAAAATAATTCTGACGCCATTTCTATTGTTTTGAAAATTGGTAGACAAAAGAAGGTGCCTATTAACAAATTGTATTTTAAAATTTACCAGAATTTAATATTTTTCTTCGGCCCCACATTGGGCGCCACCTTCAATAATTTAATATAAATGTTTTTAAAATAAAAAAAATCCTTAATAAAACCTAACTATTATTTCAAAAAAATAATTGTTTGTTACAAAATAAAAAGACAGCATACATTTAGGCGCTGTGAGTGGATAAAAACAAAAAAAAGAAAACCCCAATGTTTTTGTAACATTGAATAACATTTTCCTTACAAATCCAAGAGCAAGGCAAAGCAAAGTTATGGCATAATAAAGCCAAAACGAGAGCACACAGACACTCGCACACACATACCATGAACCGGAATAAATTGCGGTAGATTTGTTGTTGACGATTTTTTTGTGTGTAAGACAGTTATGAAGCCGCCACTCGGGCGACACTGACAGACACGGTCACACACAAAATCCGCATACAACAACCATTCAAACCAAAGTTTTATTAAATATCAGAAAAAAAGTCAGAGGCTTCCTGGCAGATTTGGTGTGTATGGGCGTTAGTGTGTGGTTGATGTGTGTAAGTTTATATGTGTTTGTGTAGCAATTTTGTTTACATGTCCTATTGATAATAGTCCTGTGTGTGGTGTATATCTATCTCCTCATATACCATGGGTTTTGTTTTATGGTTTATATGCCGCCGCCGCCACACAAATATACATGGATTTTTCACAGACTAACACTTTGTGGTGCGTGTGCGTGTGTGTGTGAAAATGTCTGTCTCTTCTCATTCTCTCTTTTAACACTGTTGGCCCACCACCCACTGAGCTTATGCTCCCAGTTTATTTATTTTTGTTGTTGCTGGTTATCCTGTAGGAAAGCCTGCCTGTGCTAACTTCATGGGGGTCTTCGATGCCGATTTACCCATACAGTTTAACGAGAGCCATCAATCGAGTGAGTTGTGTGTTTTTCACGCGGAAGTTACGGATTTCTAGAAAACCGAAAACAAAAGAGAGAGACTTTATAGTGAAAATATAAATAGAAGTTGTGTTAAAAAATCTTCAAAGGCCTTATAGATTCTAAAAAATATAAAAAATTACGGTTGTATTTATTTTTTTAAATATATCGAAAATAAAAATTATAAAAATTCAAAGGTAAATTTTTTAAACTCCCCCCTTCCACCACCTATGCAATCCAACCACCCCATATCCTAGAACCTGCGCAGTGTGCAACAATTTACAGGATAACCAAAATAATAAATCAAATGGGGAGTTATGCTTAAATTGCTCTCAACAAAAAAACCCATAGCCAAAGGAAGTAGCAGGAATAAGAGGAAAAGTAAAATTCGTTTTATGTCATAATATTCTATATTAGTGTATTGGTAAATATATTTCTTTGGAACTTGAATAAAAACTACCTAAAGTTCATTATCCTTTTGGCAAATTTTATGCTTAACTAAACATCCAGTGGTCAAGCCAAGCATACATAATAACCCTTTGCGAAACCCCACCAAACTAAAACATGAATTTTATGTGGAGAGGGTCTGGCTACCGGTCACAGCCATTAAACTTCCGGTATATTGTTTTCTAATTGAAAAAACTTCGCAATTGATTTTTGTTCGGCTATGGGTTTGGGTTCTCCTCTTTAAGGAGGTTTTAAATTTTCAAATTTAGTCACAGACTTTAAAACTTCGCATATCCCGTAACAAAACAAACAAACGCCCCTGTTTTTTCTTCCTTTGTGAAAGCAAACACCTTGATATCCTTTCAGGGGGCTTTTGTTCCTTTATTTTTGCAAACAAAAAATCCCTTTCTTCTCTGCTTGCTCAAACAAAAAACCTTAACCTTAAGTCAAGTTTAAAGTACAGCAATTATACAAAGTCAAGGATTTGTTGGACAAAAGGCAACATGCTTTTTTGTATTCCTTTTTGAGAAAATAAATAACTCATTATCCTTGGGTTTTGTATTCTATACACATTTCTTTCTTCATTATATTCATATGTGTTTTAATTTCTTGTTTTCTTCTTCTTCTTCTTTTTTCTCTTTACAGTTCGCTGCCTGGGTTGATGCTGTCATCTTCGTTTTTAGTTTAGAAAACGAATCCAGTTTTAATACAGTCTACAATTATTATACCAAAATGGCACATTTCCGCAATGGCCAAGATATTCCCATGATATTGGTCGGTACACAGGATGCAATTAGCGAGCGAAATCCTCGGGTAATTGATGATTCGCGGGCTCGCAAACTGGCCAATGATTTGAAACGGTGTTCATATTATGAGACATGTGCCACATATGGTTTAAATGTGGAGCGGGTATTTCAAGATGGTGAGTATTTCAAACCGAAAAATAAAAATGCCCCACCTAGGGCGCCAAATAAAATTTTATGAAATATAATTTGTCTTAAATAAGAAAAACATGTACAGTAATAAATATTCATTATTATTTGGGCCTCGATTTTATATAGAAACTATTTTAATTAATGTTTTTTCTTCATCGCCTCGTTGGGCGCCAATTTGAAATTTCATAAAACCCAAAATTTCATAAAACAAATATTCATTATTATTTGGACTCCATTTTAAATTAGTAACTATTTTGATTAATGATTTTCTCCAACTCCACGTTGGGCGCCATTTTGTAATTTCAAGAAATACCAAATATTCAATTTCTTTATTGGTAAAAATCATGTACAACAAAGAAATATTCATTATTATTGGATCTCAATTTTAAATTAGTAACTATTTAAAATTAAATTTTTTCAACAACTCCACGTTGGGCGCCAATTGAAAATTTCCATTCCAAATATATGCAATACCTTCTGTTCTTTACCAAAATTCTGTTATTTTCCTTTTTAAACTCCATTTGAAAGATTTATTTTTAATACAAAATATTTTTAATTATTATTTTCTCCAGCCCACGTTGGGCGCCAATTTTAATCTTCACTTCAAATTTATACAATACAATATTATCTTTTTTTAAAATTCATTATGATGATTTATTTTTAATAAAAAGTCATTAATATTTCATCAATATCCTGTATTACATCCATATTCATATCGATCCCACATTGAGCGCCAATTATTTTATTTTTTTTTTATTTTGAAAAAAAACTAATTTTTATTTTGGTTTCATTTTCTTTTTACAGCCTGTCAAAAAATCCTCTCACAACGTTTACCCCTACCCGCATCTGTTGTTACCTCAAGACCAACCACACCTCAAGGTGCCAACACCCGCCTAGGTATTGCCTCCTATCATCACAATAATCCAAGCAGTAATGGTAGCAGCAGCAATGCCAATGGCTTTTCCTCCAATTCCAATTCATCAGCTAGCTCGATGCAAAGTACAAGTGGTGCTGCCGCAGCTGGTGCTTCAGGATCAAATGCAGTAGCGGCTGGTAATCTAACCTTACCTAATCGCCATCATGTCCTCTCCAGTTCAACACATCATATACCAATGCGTATGAGTGCCGATTTTGTACATAGTGAACAACAACAACATAGTTTGCCCCCAACGGGACAAACGGCCCAAAAACTGTGGCAACAACACAATCAACACCAACAACAAGATTCACAACATGTCCAACTGAGATCTCATCATAATCGTGATCGGGAATATGCTTTAACAAATGAAAACAACAACATAACCAAATATAATCCACAAGGTGCAGGTGGCGGAGTGGTTGGCGTACGTGATTCGGCATCGGCTGCTGAACAATTGGCCCCGCTATCGTTGGTGCCGTTGCGCGAAAAAGACTCTAATATGGGAGTGGGCGGCAAAGATTTACCCACACCCACCTCAACGCCTACGGCCAGTCGTAAGTCGCGCAGAAGATCAAATCTCTTCATACCCTCCTCATCGAAAAAGGGTGAGAAGGATATGAAAAATGGTGAGCTGGGTAGTGGCCGTTCCATACCCATTAAACAGGGTTATTTGTATAAGCGATCGAGTAAATCACTGAATAAGGAGTGGAAAAAGAAATATGTCACGCTGTGTGATGATGGGCGCTTGACCTATCACCCCTCGTTGCATGATTATATGGATGATGTGCATGGCAAGGAGATACCATTGCAATATGTTACGGTGAAGGTGCCAGGGCAAAAGCCACGCGGCTCCAAGTCCATCATTACAAACAGTGCTTTGACCACATCAATGTTGTCCACAAATAATGGTGAGTCCAAAAAAACTCCGACTTCTTCGAATTAAAATTTTTAATCCGCATTTTTTTCTTTCTTTTCAGTTTTCGAACCCTTGAAGGAATCCGCCGTCAAATCGAACTCCTCCCAACAGACCAGTGGCGATGAAGGCATTGCCATGTCCAATTCCAATTCGCAAACTTTCTTAGCCGTCCCCGGCGCCGAGACATCACAACGTGAACTATTAGCCGTAAATGCTTCGAATAAATTGGAAGCCCAAACACCAAATGTCAAGAAACGTCATAGACGTATGAAAAGTAGTAGCGTCAAGTCCAATGAAATTGATGACTCTGATGGCTATGAATTCTATATTGTTTCATTGGACTCAAAGCAGTGGCATTTCGAGGCAGCCAATTCGGAGGAACGCGATGAATGGGTTGCGGCCATTGAACAGGAGATTTTCAAGAGCCTTCAGAGTATAGAGAGTACGAAACTGAAACCGGCCACCACAAGTGAATTGGCATCGATGGTAACGATACGTACCCGGGTACCGGGTAATGGTTATTGTGTTGACTGTGATGCACCAAGTGAGTTTAATGTTCGGTTACAATTTTTTTTATTTTTTTCTTCTGCTCTTCAGTTCTCTCACCTTATGATCCTGATATATTCTCCAAAATGGCTTTCAATAATTTGTATTTTTTTTTTCTTCCAGATCCTGAATGGGCCAGCTTAAATCTGGGTGTCTTGATGTGCATTGAATGCTCGGGTGTCCATCGCAATTTGGGTTCTCACATTTCCAAAGTCCGTTCATTGGGTTTGGATGATTGGCCGTAAGTATTTTTGTTGGAATTTTATTTTAAATTGATTTTATTTTTAATTGTTGTTGTTTTTGTTTCTCCTTTTAGTGCCGGCCACTTAAGTGTCATGCTCGCCATCGGCAATAGCTTGGCTAATTCCGTTTGGGAAGCTAATACACGCCAAAGAACCAAACCAAAACCAAATACATCACGCGAGGAGAAAGAGGCCTGGATCCGAAGTAAATATGAGGCCAAGGAATTTCTACCATCACCAAATACAAATACCAATGCCACACCGGGTCAACAATTAATTGAAGCTGTGATTAGGTAAGAAGAAGCACAGACACATAACCTCAAAATGAAAAAAAAAACATATTAAATTAGGAATAGGAAAATAGCAATTTAGGCTTCTCAAAAACAAATTTAAAAAAATCCAATTTTAGAGCTCTCATAATCCCTCAAAAAATTATTTTTAAACAATCTACAATTAAGGCTCTGATAGTTCCGCAAACCTAAGCAAAAAATAAGAAGCTGATAGATCCTCAAGAATATACTTTTAAAAATCCACCATTGGGGCACTGATGGTTCGTCAGAAAATGATTTTCCAAAAATTCACAATTAGGGCTCTGATAGGGCTCTTGATAAAATCCATTATTCTTTACTCTGATAATTCCTCCAAAAATTTTCTAAAAACTCATCCAACAGAATCCTCTGATAGGCCCTTAAAATTATTAAAAAAAGAACAACTAAAAGAACAATTTCTCAAACCCTAATTCCGACCCAGCCGAACTTTTTATATCCACCTAAAATCGTGCAGGACCTTTTATATGGTGCCTATGGTTTATTAAACTTCGGAAATGAACTGAAAATCGGTCGGTATCTATATAAGGCGTCTATGTCAATTATAGACCTGCATTGAAAATTCTCTGTAAATATTTGTTCTAACCCTCCAATATTTCGGAACACCTATATATGTCAGAACATGGTTCTACATCGATCATTTTCTTAAATTATTATTTGTCTCCCTTCCAAGGGTCCGAAACGTCAAATTACAGTCACTTAGTGGGGGGCCTATATATGGAGGCTAAGTCCTATCAGGGACCTAAATAGAAAATTTTCTGAAAATAAGTTTCTCTACCCTCAAAGAACTTCAAAAAATTATTTTTAAACAATCTACAATTAAGGCTCTGATAGTTCCGCAAACCTAAGCAAAAAATAAGAAGCTGATAGATCCTCAAGAATATACTTTTAAAAATCCACCATTGGGGCACTGATGGTTCGTCAGAAAATGATTTTCCAAAAATTCACAATTAGGGCTCTGATAGGGCTCTTGATAAAATCCATTATTCTTTACTCTGATAATTCCTCCAAAAATTTTCTAAAAACTCATCCAACAGAATCCTCTGATAGGCCCTTAAAATTATTAAAAAAAGAACAACTAAAAGAACAATTTCTCAAACCCTAATTCCGACCCAGCCGAACTTTTTATATCCACCTAAAATCGTGCAGGACCTTTTATATGGTGCCTATGGTTTATTAAACTTCGGAAATGAACTGAAAATCGGTCGGTATCTATATAAGGCGTCTATGTCAATTATAGACCTGCATTGAAAATTCTCTGTAAATATTTGTTCTAACCCTCCAATATTTCGGAACACCTATATATGTCAGAACATGGTTCTACATCGATCATTTTCTTAAATTATTATTTGTCTCCCTTCCAAGGGTCCGAAACGTCAAATTACAGTCACTTAGTGGGGGGCCTATATATGGAGGCTAAATAGAAAATTTTCTGAAAATAAGTTTCTCTACCCTCAAAGAACCCGAAATATCAAATTTCAGCCAGTTCGGTTGCGCATAAAAAACTTCTAAATATTGAAAATGAGGTCGGACCTAACTCGCAATTGGTTTGCATAGAAGTTCTTGACACTACAAGAACTTGGTATGCCAGATTACAGCCACTTCGATGAGAAAAAATGCAGCTAAACTCTTGAAAATTCTAAAAAATTGTGCGGGATCGATATATGAAGGCTATAACAAAACATTGTCGCATATTGAAAATTTTCTACAAATATTATTTTCCCACTCTAAAAACCCTGAATGCTAAATTTCCACCAATTTGGTTGGAAAATACAACTAGGACCACTAAAATTCTTAAAATCGGACGGAACATGTTTATGGGGTTATATCAAAAAATTCATCTATTTTGGTATTTTATTTGGAAATATGATTTTCACACTCCAAGAGACCGAAATGTCACCTCGCAGCCACTTTGCGGTTGCAAATTTCGTATATAACCTTGCAAATTCTGAAAATAGTGCAGTTTTATAAAAAAAGAACTTAGACATCCTAGGACATTCCAAATAATATTTGAAATTTGTTTGTCTAAAAAATATATCCAAAAACATAATTCCTAATTATTTATTTAATAGTCCCCCTGTACATAACCTTACTTTTATTTCTTAATTTTGAAATAACAAGAACAATTTGTTAACCTATTTTTTCCAAGACCTGTATTGGCCATAACAAACATCCTAAGTCACCCGGAATAATATTAGGGATCCTTTTGTCCCTATAAATTAATTCCCAAATATGTATCTGATAGTTTTTCAGAACATAACCCTACTTTTATTTCTTAGCTTTGAAAATAACAACAACAATTTATTAATTTATTTTTGTTTTCTTCTCCTCTTCTTCCTTACAGATCCGATATGAAATCGATTGTCTTAATATTGGCCAATTCCACACCGGAAATAACCAATGCCAATGTTAGTCCTAGAGATGTTAGGACACCATTACTATTGGCATGTGCCATTGGAAATTTGGCAATTGCTCAACTTTTGATATGGGTAAGTTGACAAAAAAAAAACAAAAACAATTTTCAAATTTACAATTTTATTTACATTCCCTTTTTTTCATTTTACAGAATGGTGCCAATATCAAACATACCGATCATGAGGGTCGAACCTGTTTGGCATATGCCCGGGCAGCCCAATCATTGGCCACAGCCAAGTCATTGAAGGCGGCTGCTGCAGCAGCTGCCGCGGCTTCTGCTGCTAGCAATAATTCTTCTAGCTTGGCCAGCAATACATCATCATCGTCCTCATCGATATCGCAGAGCACCTCAAATAATACCAATTCGGCTTCAATGGCCTCAGCAAATAATAGCAGTAATTCTACAGCAGCAAATCAATCTCAGCAATCATCATCCTCCACAACAAATGGTGGCATTCCAGCACCCCATTACAGTGTAGAGGAAACTACCGCCTTGGTTGAGCTACTAACAGGGTTGGGTTGTCCCGAATCGGCACCGTTGACCGCAAGTGGTACCTTGCCACGACGAAGAGACACATTGGGTACACCCTATGAGAAAACTGTATCAGGCGTTATATAAGAAAAAAATTTTGAAAACAAAAATTATATATAAATAAAAAATATTATTATTAGTCTTTAGGTTTTATATAGGATCATTATTATTATATTATTGAAGGTAGTTTTTAACAAAACAAACAACACGCTTAGCTTAAAAATGCTATAAAACAAACAAACCGGAAATTATGTTTTTTAAGTTTTCTTTTTTTAATTTTAATTTTTAAGTTTTTTTAATTTTTGTTTAAAAAACCAAGTTTATTTTGAATCTAGATTTTATTTTGTTCCTTTTTTTCAAAATCTCTAATTTAGTTCAAATCTAAAATCTATGTTTTCTTGAATATATATTTCTCAAAACCTCTTTTTTGTGTAAAATTCCCCTTCTTTTATTTTAGTTGTAACTGTATTTAATTATTATTATTAAAAAATGTGTAAAGTGTTTATTTTTTGTAAATGGGTTTTGTTAAAGTTTTTAAAAAAGATCGTTTGTTTATAGTAACAAAAACAAAATATTTAGTTACAGTTATTAAATGTTTTTAATTTTTGTTTATTTAAAAGAAATGAAATAATCACAACCCTGTTAATTGTTTTTTTGTTTCCTCCTCGCACCACCCTACTGCCTGCTACCTCATGTATTCCACCAAATAACGTTCCCCCCAATCTTCTATATATATCAGGCTTGTTTATGTTTCTTTAGCAAATCTCTTAACATTTTTATTTTTAATTGTATATTTTTTATTATTATTTTATAATATAATAAAATATATTATAAATATATATGTATATGTTTTTAAAAGAAAAAACAAAAAACCCTTATATTAAATGTATTTAAAACAAAAAATCTGTATAACAACTTTTTTGTATGTGTGTGTAAATAATATATATATGTATTAAAAGAAATTGGACATATTTTTTATTATACAAAAAAAGGTTTTTATTTTTAAGTTTTATTATTATTATTTTTTTAATTAAAACAAAACACCCAAAAAATTTTAACAAAAAATAAAAAATGTGGTTTTATTTCATTATATTTTGTTTTGCTATAGAATTCATTGTTACATTTGTTTTGCTACAGTTTTCATTTTTACATTTCGTTTGCTTTCATGTATTTGGTTTTTTACTTTATTTTTTGCAATGTGCAATCAGTATTGAAATAAAATTTATGCTACCGAAATGAGAAACAGAAAACAAAACAAACCGATAGACTTTGAAAATATGAATAGAATTTATATTAGTATAAGCTGGAAATAAAATATATATTAGTACTACTACATACATATAGAAGAAGAAGAAAAAATTATAAATGTTTTTTTTTTTAATAATTTTGTTAATTATTGAAATATTTTTGGTCCTACCAATATATATTTTTTAAAGTCACAGAATATATTTGGTGTATTAAAAAGTATTAAAAAGAAATTTGAAATTATTACATCATATAAGTACAGAGATTTCAATATATGTATGTATATTCAATATTTAATGGTATAACAGAAAAACAAAATATATCTCAAATGTGAGGTTATATTTACTCTCAAATCATTCTCATATGAAATTATTAAATATTTAAGATTTATTCTAATGTACCACCCAGTATGTCACCTATATATGATCTGCGAAAAGTGCTTCTATACTTTAATGAGAATTTCGAATGGCCTTCTTATGAGGAAGGCCTTTTAAAAGACCCTCTGGTCTTCTATTAGAAGAATTTCTAATCTAGTTTGACATTCAATGATAAATCTTTCAGATCTTTTAGTATGTATGAGTCTGTTTATCTCTGAGAATACTTCGTGGTTTTTATGCGAAGTATTGTCTGATTCCTATAATATGACGCTCTGGGTTTCTATTAGAAAAAACAAATGTAGAGGCCAGAGGCGAGGAGTTTATAGTCTAATGGGGAGGAGTTTTTCAATAGAGTTTTTGAAAACAAAATAGGGCAAACGCGTGCATTAAAAAATGGATTTTTGAAATAATTTTGACTATAGAGGCCAAATCTTGGATTTTTAAAAATAACTTTTGGCAAGTATAGAGGTCAAAGGCGTGGATTTTTTAAATAATTTTTGGGCGATTACAAAGGCCTTAGGCAAGGATTTTTTAAATAATTTTTTGGCGACTGTCGAGGCAATAGATGTGGGTTTTTTAAATAAATTTTGGGCTGCTGTAGATGCCATAGAAGTGGATTTTTTAAATAATTTTTGTGCGACTATAGTGACTAAAATCGTTGCGTTTTTAAATAATTTTTGGGCAACTATAGAGGCCATAGGCGTAGATTTTTTAATAAATAGTTTTTTTTAAATAGTTTATGTATGACTACAGAAGCCAAAGGCGTTACATTTTTAAATAATTTTTGGACGACTATAGAGGTCAACGGCGTGGATTTAGTTAAAATAATTTTTGGTCGAATGTAGATGCCAAAAGCGTTGCGTTTTTTAATAATTTTTGGGCAACTATAGAACCCAAAGGCGTAGAATTTTTTTAATTATATTGCGGCAACTATAGATGATCACTTGACCAGTACCGGAGAATAATTTTTCTGATGTTATTTTAAAAACAGTGTATGAAAAAACCTTTTGTTCTAGTTTGAGTTCTTCTTTAGAAAAGTTTTTACTCTTTTATTAAAAATTGTCATGGTGATCTTTCATGAGAAGAACTTTTGTGGTCTGATCTTGAGGAGTCCTTCTGATCACCTACGACAATTTCTTTTAGTCTTCTACGGAATACATTCTAGTCGTCTATAAGGATAATTTATGGTATTTTTTAGGAAGACCTGATGGTCTCTTTTTAAAAAAAAAACTCTCTAATCCTATCTTCTTTATACCCTTCATCACACCTTCCTTCTGTTATGAGAAGAAATTCGTCTTTCAGATTTCTATGAGAAGTCTGTCTGATATTCTTGAGAAGTCTTTTTGTTCTTTTAATAGAATAAAATCTGATAATCTATGAGAATTTCTTCTAATTTTCTATGAGAGTAAGAGAAGAACTTCTGGTCTTTTATGGAAAAAATACTTCAAGTCATAAATGGGAAATCCTTCTGACCATTTATGAGCAGATTTTCTGAACTTTAATGAGAAGTCATTGTTGTATTCAAATATAATGTATTCGGGACATAATGGTCTTCTATGGAAGAACTTATGATCTTCTATGGAAGAACGTCTGGCCTTCTGTATGATGAACTCTTGGTCTACCAATTCAATACCTTCTATGGTCATCTGTGAGATTATATTCTGATTGTCCTAGAGAACACTTTCACCAGTTCTTTGTTGAGAATATCTTCTGATTGTCTATAAAAACCCCATCTGATATTCCTTGATAAAAGATTTTCATTTTCCATTATAAGAACTTTATGTATAGTCCTCATCTAATTGTACGCTTCAAATTTAGGAACTTTTTTTTGGTTTTGGACACGTTTTCTAACGAATTTGGTCGGTTAATTTGATGTTGTGTATTTTCATTTGGGTAGAAAATCGACTTATCAATATTGATCCCCGGTTTTCCCCCATTTTCAGTATTCTGAGGTTTTTGGACACCTTTTCCGGCATTTTAATTTTCGGCATTTTAAGGATTTTGAAGGCGTTTGCCATCCGAAATGAAATCTCCATGCCTAATTAACACCTTCAGGTACGTAAAATTTTCGGTATTATGGACATATTTTCTAAACAAATTGGGAAAACTGATCAATCTTGGGGCAATCTTTTATATACCAGAATACCTGAATCTTGGTATATTAAAGATTTCGACATGTATTCCAATTTATTTGACTGTATTTTTTGTCAAGAGTTCTCATTGGGTAATCCATACCAAAAAAAAAATATTTCTAAAAGCCCTCATAGAGAACCTTCCTATTTCGGATCAAATGTAAACAATATAACGGAATTAAGGATTCTATATTAGTATAGTCTCCATATAACGATATAGAAAATTTTCATTATTAGGATTATAGGGAAGATAATATTGATATTTTAATATATTTTTAAGCGACTTCTTAGAGGAATATTTTGGGTGTACAATGGGTTAGTATACTCTTCAATATAACAAGGATCTATTATTGATTTCAGATGTAATTTTAATATGGATATACATACATACATCTACAAACAAAGACTTATATCAACTCTTTAGAATAACAACCCTATTATTTTTTCGAATTTATTAATATTAATTTTATTGTTTAATAATTTAATCAAATAACACACAAAATTATTAGCTTTCCCTTAAAAAATAAAATTAAATGAAAAAATAACAATCATAAAAAATAAATTATTATCTATTTAAAACCTTGAAGCGCGCTTAGAAAAAAACAAAACAGAAATAACAAATGGAAAAATATTTAATTTTACAAATACATATTGTAGAACAAGAAATGACAAAAACAACAACAAGAAAAATTATTATATTTATAAAAAAATATAAATAAAAAATATATAAAAATAAAAAAAGAAATAAATAATAAATAAAAATAAAATATAAATGACAATTTAATTATCTTTCCGATAATTATTTCAATTCAATGAAACATCAAACAAAACATGTGGAATCACATTTGTGATTCTAATATTTTTTATTATTGTTTGAACACGTTTTGAAACATAAATATTATAGTATAATTTCATGATTTACTTTTGTGGCAATATTATAATAATTTCAATATGAAATGTATAAAATATGTATTTGCAGCATAATTTATTAGTAGTAATAATTATAAAATTAAAACAAAACATGAAATCAATGAAATATACAAACCAAAAAGAAATGCAAGAGAATAAAGAAAACAACAATTTAATTGAAAACAAAAAAGTCTACGGAATTATAAAGAGATTTTATTTCGCTTTATATGGGGTATGTACATATATGTTTTTTATCAACCTCTATGGAGAGGTATCAGAAGAGGTTGCAAACAAATAGTCCATATTTTAAAAATCTTTCAACTTTCACATAATGCTAATTTTCTTCTATATAACATAGGTTTATATAGGTATTGTCAATAAAAAATTAAATGAAAATTCTCCTGAATAATTTGTGCAAAATTTATGAAAATCAGTTAAATAGTCACAGAGATATTTGCATTTCAACTCAACCATGTTCCGAAATATACTTACTGTTCGGTGCTGGGCGCCTATTACCTGAAAATGAAATGCCACACAAAAATTGGTTTCTTAAAAATTACAATTTTTCTTCTACTTTCATAATGGCTTTTGGTTTGT